GAGCCGGGGGTGCCCTGGGCCGCAGTGGGATCGTGGAAACTCGACGTGAAGGTGCAGCAGCCTTTGTCCCTCCCATGTTTAATGTGCTCCTGTGTGCAGTTCCAGCTTCTTTGTTTCCCTTTTAAACTAGCTGTTTCATAAAAGCAAAGTCTTGCCCGGCCATTATGGCTCAGTGGTTAAATGTGGACCTATGAACCTGGAGGTCAGGGTTTGATTCCCGGTCAGGGCACATGCCCGGGTTGTGGCCTCGATCCCCAGTGTGGGGAGTGTAGAAGGCAGCCAATCAACAATTCTCTCTCATCACTGATGTTTCTATCTCGTTCTGTCCCTTTCTCTCTGAAATTAATAAAAATATATTAAAAAAAATAAAAGCAAAGTCTTTTCTCTTTTTGAAACTTAACATCTCAAACCTAAAAGGCGACTTTGTATCTATTCGTAGCGGGAGCGCATTTATCTGTGTTAGTATCTGCAGGCGCCAAGGAGAAACGATAGGAAATGGATAGAAATGCAGGATGCCGGGCTCAGAGAGGACCTTCGGAATGGAAGCCAGCGCCTTTCTATTTATGGATGAGGTTACAGATGAGGAAACTGAGGCCCAGAGTGAGCCGGTCAGACAGGCAGCTGGATCTGGGCCACCTCGGCCCCCGACCGTCACCACTGGGCTCTGTCCTGGGGTCACCGTGACCGCAGGGAGGGGCGGTGTGGAGGGGACTGCACATGGGGCAGAAGGGGAGGCTCAGAATTCTGTTATGTAACTTCTGTTAATTTTTTAAAAATTTATACCGCCGTTGTGCATGCTGCCTTCTAGCGGGGACCCCGTTGCATTCTCCACGGGAACGCATCCCCACTGCTGATCTGCTGGTGTCCCCAGCTGTGAACGAAGGCCGTGCGTGCAGGGCCCCGGGAGCCGCAGGGAGAACACGTCTGGGCTTTCACTCGGTCACGTGCTGCTTTTGTTCTAAGAACCACAGGTGGGCAGAAGCCTGTTTTCCAATTTGCACCTGTCCTGTCCTTTTTTTTTTTTTTTTTGAGTCTAACTCCTCCAGTGTCTAAGCCTATGTGTCCCGACCGGTGAACACATTTGGGTTCACTGCTTCAGGAGCCCAGGCTCGCGTGGTCAGAGCCAGCTCGCCGACTCCCTGAAACAGGGACGCCCTCAGGCTCCCCGAGATGGGAGCTGTCAGCGCTGTTCTCCTGCGTGAAGGAAAGTGCTTACTGTGGGTGAGCAGAAAGTCAGGGGGTCTAAGTTCAGATCTCAGGAAGCTGTCAGAAGCAGGCCAAGTCCGTCCTGGCCTGCGATGGCCACTTAACACCATCGGTGAAATAGACCGATCGCGGCACGAGTGGGGAAATCCTTCCCCGGGGGCTTGGTTCTGCCCAGAGCTGGGGGAGAGAGCGCGCTGAGGAGGTGGGCTCATTGCTGGGACAGGAAGAGGCTGGCCTCACCCCATAGCATCTGTATACCAGCGGGACTTCCTGGGGTGACCTCTCCTTCCTTTTTAAATGTCAGAAACCAGCCCTAATCTGTTTGGCTCACGTGGATAGAGCGTTGGCCTGCAGACTGGGGGGTCCCAGGTTCAATTCCGGTCAAGGGCATGTACCTTGGTTGCGGATGCATCCCCAGTAGCGGGTGTGCAGGAGGCAGCTGATCCATGTTTCTCATCGGTATTTCTAACTCTCTATCCCTCTCCCTTCCTCTCTGTAAAATATCAATAAAATATATATATTTTTAAAAAATGTCAGAAACCAACAGAAGTTCACAGAAGAAAGTAGTCACCCCCTGCATCTGGAATTCACAGCATCCGGAATTCACCGCTCTTAGCCGGTTGATAAGCCTGATTTTTCCCAGTCTCTCTCTAAACTTGAATAACTATACAAGTGACATCAGGAGTTTGTTGAAGGATTAAAACAGTAATACAAGTGATATTGTTTTACCTACTTTTATATGTACATATACATTGATATAGAAAATATACAGTGGTGTTTAGGAAGAGTTTTTAAATGATGGAGAGTGGTTGTCTCTCATTTAATGCTGCGGGGCAGTTACAGGGCCTCCATAGCGCTGGGTACTCGGACCCCTTTATTCTGTGGCTCTGCCATATGTATTTTTTTAAAATATATTTTTATTGATTTCAGACAGGAAGGGAGAGAGAGAGAGATAGAACCATCAATGATGAGAGAGAATCATTGATCAGCTGCCTCCTGCACACCCCACACTGGGGATCGAGCCTGCAACCCCGGGCATGTGCCCTGACTGGGAATCGAACCGTGACCTCCTGGTTCAAGGTTGATACTCAACCACTGAGCCATGCTGGCTAGGCTGCCATCTTTAACTTGAGAAGGCCACTCCTGCTCCTATCACCACCTTGGTATCACAGTATCATGAAATGAGCAACAGGAAAGGGAGGGCACACTCCTTGTAAGGGTGCCATGTGGGAGTATATCACTTCTGCTCATATGCCATTCATCAAACCTGGTCACACGGTCACACATAGCTGCAAGGGAGGCTGGGCAGCCACGGAAGTGTCTCATTGAAACATCTATTATGTGGAAGAGAACAGGTGAGAGTATGAGGCACACCTCATTGGAACCCTCAGCCACAGGAAAGGGTTTGCTTTCCCCCCCCCGTACCTGTTGCTTTGTGAGGAAACATTTTCCACGGAAGTTACCAAGTGGACTTGAGCTACTAATAAGAGTTACCCAGAGTGAACGCATTTCCCTCTGGGATTTTAGGTCACGTTTATTCCAGTGGTTACAGGGTCGTGTGTGAAATATATTGAGATGAGGTGGCTTCTCCTTAAACTCTTATTTTTTCTGGAGCTGCTTTCTGCTTCTTTGTTTTTCACCGTTTTCGATATTTGATACTTAGTTTCATCCTTGTTTTTCTCTGTGTTGGCAGGTATGGCGCCGGCTCAAGGCTGGGCGAGACGGTACTTCAAGGCCTTCTGTAAAGGCTTCTTCGTGGCGGTGCCGGTGGCCGTGACCTTCCTCGACCGGGTGGCCTGCGTGGCGCGAGTGGAGGGAGCATCCATGCAGGTGACAGTGAATGCGCCACCCTTCTCACAGCACACGCATCACTCTCTCTCTCAAGCACCGGCGACGCGGTCTCTCTGTGTCACTTCTGTGCTGGGACCTGAAAGGCTATAGAAAGATCTGAGGTTTAACTTTCCTGACTTTTTTAAATAAGGTTTTTCCAATGTAACTCACAATCAGAGGAGAGGCAAAGAAAAATAATTACCGGATTGTTATCTGTATCTGTCTATCTCTCTGTATATCTTTTTAGGAACTGTAAATGGAGGTTCTAAATAAGTGTTTTTTTAATCCTCCCCCTGGATAGTTTATTGATGAGAGAGAGAGAGAGAGAGAGAGAGAGAGAGAGAGAGAGAGAGACGTGGG